TCGCGTTGCCCCGCGAGCATCAGCGGTATCACAATGGGCCGCTAACTTAACTCAAAAGTTGCGGTTAACAGATTGCTCTATCGAGAGATGATTAATGATTTTCTATAGCCGAAATCGGATGGTTATGATCTGGATAACGTTTACGCAACGTCGATTCAAGGCCTCAAAGTTGGAGTTCGTCAAGCTAATGGAGCATTCAACAGCCACTTAGCGCTTTGGTGTTTGAAAATTTCGCAAAAAAATTACGGTCCTGTAAGCGTAGCAGTGGCGCCTACTTCTCTGATTGGTTTGCCATTATTAATGGCATATCTTCCTCTTTACATTGAAATAAATATTCCATCATCTATCAAAAATAATTTCATTTTTTCTTTGAATACCAAAATAACACCTTCAACTTGCTATCGCTTCACTCTAATTTTATTTGGAATAACAATTTTTTGAACAGGGCGTTGATTGCTTTGACTCACTTTTCCATACCAAAATCCACTTACTAAGTGCTCTAAATAATTAATAAATTCCCTCTCCTTTTCCCCATGCAATTTTATAGCGGATAATGAACAAATCTGTGGCTGTTTAGTATAAGAGACGGGTGTAATCGCGACCTTCCGCTATCGGTTACGGGTTCAGGGCAGTCCGGACTGTTACTGGTTTTCGGTCACTGGTCTTCTGGATTTTTCGATTAACCCTCAGACGCGTCCCTCGGTCGGTTGGGCGGGAGGTGGGTAGCGCTGGGTTCGTCGTAAAAAATAATAATAAAAATAAAAATTAAAATAAAAAGGCCAAACAACGTGTTCTATTTTAATTTTATTCAGTTTCAAATTCATTTTGTCGCAACTATTTTAAGCACTTTCGATTTTGTGGCTTAATTGCGATGAATTAGAGCTCGAAATTAAGTCACAAGGGTACTTTTAACGACAGTTAAGTGGCGGATCCTTCTATTGTTGTCTTAATTATTCCGATAAAATGTGATAATATAAAAAATACTTAAATTTTCTCGTTTAGTAAAAAATTGATGAGATGAGGAATATACAATTTTTTGTTAAAACTTTGGGAATAAAATAATGTAGATGTGTTTTTCAAACCACGATTCTTATCGATTTTAATGGACTTTCAATTTTTTATATTATTATTTTTCCTATAATTCTATAAAATAATATTGAAAATTCAATCACGCCAATTATGTGATCTTTAATTTATAAAAAAAAATGCCAAACAGATGGAAACTCTTTTTTGGCAGCGAGTTCAACAACTGGCTCGTTGGTCTAGGGGTATGATTTCCGCTTAGGGTGCGGGAGGTCCCGGGTTCAAATCCCGGACGAGCCCAAGTGCAACATTTTTTTTAATTGTAAAATCAAAATATTTTCGTTATAAATTTTAAAAAGCTTTTTATACATGTATATGTATGTATTAGGTCTAGTATAAAGTAGTCCATTATTTTTTAACAATTGTAAGTCAAATGTGTGTCAAATGTTTTCAAGGCAATTTCATTTTGTCTGCTTTACAGAGACCAATAAAACAAATTGGAACAATCGATTTTTAGAGACTGCTCTTGAAGCCAATCATTCGCCATACACAGAAAGAGCTGATAATCAGTTGGTACCAGATGCGGACTGTAAGGTGTAAGCACAAGCACCTCCCAACCAAGTTCTTGGAACTTCTGGCGAGTCACTATCGATGTGTAGGGTCTAGCGTTCTCCTGCTGTAAAGAAATGTCCCTCTTGTTGGCCAATGCTAGGTTCTTATGGTCGATTGTTTGCTGACAGTGATGGTCCAATTTAAGTGTTTGGCCGTAGGAGAAAAGTTCAGAGCGATTGATTCCTTGACAATGCCTCCACGGTAGAGATACTTTCAGAAGTAGGAAAACCTGCGGAGTCGCGCTGTCTCCATAACGATGCCGACGAAGATGAAAGACGACGCCGAGCATATACTCAGTAAATGCACACGCTGGCAAAGCTGAGCGCAGTATACTTGAAAGCACGGTCGGACCACAAAACACAGACAACACCATGCTCGCTAGTGAAAAAAAGATGGTAAAGTGTAAAAGAATTTATAGAACGCGTGCTAAGAACGAAAAAGCGGTAGCTGAACGCAGGTGGCGAGGAGTAAATCCCACTACGAATAGGGCGACTGTTCGTTAGAGAAGAGTTTTTAGTGACTTGCAAGTGACGTATTCCATTCATATAACGGCGCATGGAGATGCGGTAGACATTATTCTCATTCTAACCGGTAAAAAAAATATATAATAAAAAAATACAAATAAATAAAAATAATGTTTTTTATTATTCCAATTAAATTTATTTTATTTTTTTTATTGGAATGCAATTTTTATAATCTTATTCATTCCAATTTATTATTTAATTTTATATCGTTTATTAACTAACTTTTTTTTAAGGTCTAAAATTTTCTTTAAATTAACCGCGATGAGTTCAAAGTGATTTAATTTTATTTAAAATTTTTAATTTTTTTCATGTGGTTATATTATTTTTAATTTTATTATTAATATTATATTTAATTTTTTTTTTAAGAGAGGACTCTACTAGTATTATTTCGCGTCGTGTACATCTGTGACTATATTCATTTCAAAGGTACTGTCATTTTGCGTCGTTTTCAGTAGATGTCATTTATTTTAGCGTGAAAAACAATTTGTTTCATTCATTTGAAAATGTCAAAATTCGTGCCAAATAAAGTGTTTTTGCAGGGAGTTCTTCTTCATTACTTTAACATGAAGAAAAGTGCTACCGAAAGCCATCGTATTTTACTGGACGTTTATGGTGACCATGCTTTAGCCGAACGAACCTGCTTAAAGTGTCTTGCAGGGTTTAAAAGTGACAATTTCGGCTCAGATGGCGAACAGCCAAAAAAATGTCAAGACCAAGAATTGGAGACATTGCTCAACGCAGATGCATGCCAGACGCAAGAAGAACTTGCAGAAGTATTAAGAGTTGATCAAGCGACCAATTTCAGATGATTAAAAGCCTTTTTTCACAATAAAGTCTTAATTTTCAAAAAAAAAAAACACTACGAATATAATTTTTTTATATTATTTTTTGTTTGTCTTCCTCGATATTTGACTTAATTTCGGCCGCATTGTCTACTGATATTCAATATGTCAGGGTGAATGTCCGAAAGTTATAGAAAAATAATTTAAATAAAAAATTAAGCTAAATTTTCCAGTTGCGGTCCCCCGAGTGTATTAGTGACGTGAAATAAAGCTCCTCATAAATAAAAAAACATCAGCCGTTCATGGACGGCTTAGTATAAACTGTCCCTCCATTTGTTGGAAAATCATCAAGACGCTAAACCACAAATTGGAGGAGGAGCTCGGCCGAAAATCGCTTCAACGGTTATAAAGCGCCAATTATATACTAAATTTCATATATCTATCTAATTTAAGTTTAATTTTTTTAATTTATTTTTTATATAATTTTTCGTTCCATTTTTTTTTAGTTTTCATTTTTAGTTTTATTATATTAAAATTTTTTAATATTTCAAATGTGTTTATTTTATAATTTTATTATTTTATTTCATTTTGTTATATTTCATTTTATTTTATTTTTATTTGTTTATTTTTTACTTTCTTTAAGTCATGATTATTAATTTAATATTTGTTATTTAATTTTTTTACTGTATTTTTATTTTATTTACTATATTTTATAACATTTCCGTGAATTATTTTATGAGGCTTAGCTGTACTCTACATTTTTATATAATTATTATTTTTGTTTTTTATTTTTTAGCAATGGTATGCTGTATTCCTGGTCGTAAATACTGACCTGGATGGAGACTAATTGCTCGTCACCTCAGATCATTTCCGTTTGACGTTGCTATAAGTTATCCACTTTTCATCATCAGTTACGATTCGCTTCAGAAATGGTTCGATATTTTACGGTTCAGCAAGGATTCGCAGTTGAAAATTTTAAGTGATTCCAAACTGTTTTTTGTCCAACGCTTTGCTGTCTTATACTTAACTTTGGACATATTGGGCATAAAATGAAAATAAAAGACACGCCTTTGTTTTAACAATTTTCATAAATGTAATTTTATTTATTTAATTCCATAAACTTTCAATAGATAGATAGATTGGGGAGATTGGTGTTTAGTATAACATATGTGAATTATATAACGTAATTAATTATAAAGAGGGGAGGGGGAAAAACGTACACTACTACATACAATAAAATTTATATATTTCAAAAAAAAAAAAAAAAAAACGTATGCGCTTACACATACATATGTACGCACTTTGCTGTACTATGCAGATAAATATAATTCAAATATAAATTATATATGGTAAATATAATGCATTTCTTGCAGTTGTTGTAACAATTTTTTTTGGTTTCCTTTCTGAAGGTTAACACAAAAAGCAATAAAATGAATTATCTTTATTTATTTCTTTAGATACATATGCATATAATATAATAATAATAATAATACACAATACATAATGGATATATATTAATTTTAATAAGTGTTTTTCGAAATACATATATATGTATTTATACATTGTTTTTGTTAATAAAATTTATAATTAAAAATTTAATGCAAATATATTATATGTATGTGTGTAGTTAATTATTTCGCTTAAAGTTTCCATAGAACAAACGATTTTATTTATAGAAACAATTAGTTAAAATAAAATAAAGAGAATGGCAAAAATTTGATTTTTTTTTGAACGTATAACGGCCTGGCCGTTATTACAACACAAAAATATTTACTAATAATTTATGGCCATTAATTTAACGCTGACTATAAAATATATTACAAGCAAGTTGCCAAATTAATTTTTTTTTACGAAATTTAAAACAAAAGAAAATTTAAAAAAATAATAGTTTTCAATGTATTATTTTTCCATATTTAAAATTATTTTTTTTTTTTTCAAAACAAATTTTTTAAGCAACTTAAAAATATTTGCAATGGGACACGGTTTAACATAAACAAATACATACTATAAAAAAAAAAATACAAATTTTTGCTTATTAACGGTTATATTGTTTTTCATATTTTGGCATATTTTGAAGATTTTGGAGTAAAATTTTTATTTTCCGTAAATATTTTTATCTATACGAGTATATGTACGCATTTATCTAAAGATTTGGAGTGGCCATATGTATGTATGTATGTGAGTGCATTTGCCCATGTATATATATATATATATCTGTGTGTATGCGTAAAATGTGACCAGTTGCTAAATATCCAATTCGAAACGTCGCAAATGCTTTTGTATCGCAGTTGTCGGTTTTCGCAATGTTGCTGCTGTTATTGCTGGTGCTTTTGTTACTGCTGTGTCGACTGACGACGACGACGACGACGGCGGCGTCGTTGGCGTTGGCGTTGGCGTTCCTTTCGTTTTCATCTTCGTTGTTTGGGATATATTCGGCTGCTCAACATCACTTCCGCTCGAACCGGAAGTGGGCGAGCAATAGGGGTTGTGTTCGTGCGAACGCCTATCCGCTAACATTGTTGTTGTAGTTGTTGTTGTATTGTATGCTTTTCTGCCGTTGTTGCTGTTGTTTTTGTTGAATCGACGCGGCATGTTGCTGCTAAATGTTGCATACGGCTGTTGTTTTGTTTGTTGTTGTTGTCGTCGCTTTTCATCACCAACATCATCATCATCTTCAGCATCGCCATCATTACCGGCGCCATTATTGCTATTGTTGTCGTCATCGTTGTCCGCTTCGTCTTCACTGCAAACGACAGACGCTTGGCGACCAAATTTAGTACAACTATTTGTTAGTGTTGTTGTGTTTGGAACTTCGGTTGCCGTTGTTGTTGTTGTTGCTGTTGTTGATTTGCGTACAAAATCGGTAAAACTGCTCAAATTGATGGCATTACGCTCGGCCACGCTCATGTAGCCGACGATTTTTGGTGTACTTTGCATTGTTGCTGTTGTTGTTGTTGCTGCAGTTGTTGCGCCAATAGTGCACAATGTGGTTGTTGTTGTTGCTGTTGCAGCTATATTGGCACTCTCATTAAGCTTGGCCATCATTAAGTTTGTTAAACTTCTATTGCTGTTACAGCTGCTGGTGTTGTTGTTGTTGTTGTTGCGACTATAACTAATTGTATTAATACTATTTACACTGTTATTGCTACTACTACTACTACTACTTGCAACTGTATTACTTGTTGCATTCATATTTTTATTAGTATTACTAATATTACAGCTATTGTTTTTGTTATTGTTATTGTTATTGTTATTATTGTTATGGTTATGATTAATATAATTATGTTTATAAATATGTTTATTAGCACTAGAAATCTTTGGTTGCTCCACTGGTTTTGTTCTTGTTAATAATGTTGTTGTTGTTGTTGGTGTATGAGTTGTTGCGGTTGTTGATAATTGTGAAATGATATTGTTTGCTACGCTACTCGCATTCAATAATATCTCTTGCTTATTGCCAGCATTTGTTATTGCTATTTTTGACTTGTGACTATTATAGGAATTCGCACTATCGGCAGCAGCAACGACAACATTTTTGGACGCGTCAACAGCTAATCGTTTTCGTTCATTTTGCATTGCTGTGTTGTTGATATTTTGTTCCCTTTGCTTTTGCTCAACATTCTCATAGTTTTGTTGCAAAGTTCTCTCAGTGCCTGCTGTTGTTTGTTGTTGTTGTTGTTGCGGCATTTGTGTGTTTGTGGTGGCCATTGGCGCATTGTTTTTGGATGATGCTGGTGATGATATCGATGTTGTTGCCGTTGTTGTTGTTGTTGTTGCAACTATTGCTGGTGCTTGCCGCATGCTGCTGGCTGCTTTCTCCATGCATTGTCGTGAGGAGGTTGTTCTCAATTTCTTGCCGAAAGTGGAAGATTTTAAACCTATTTTTATTTTTGTTTTTTTTTTTTGGTGGGCGGAATCAAAGAAAAATTTTATTTAATTTTTTTTCATAAACTTTTCAATTTTATTTATATTCATATTCAGAATAAAATTTGTTTAGTTATATTTTCATGCAGATTAGTTATTTGTTAAATTGAAAATGTGATGAAGTAACAATAAATACGTACATAAAAGTCGAAAATTAAACAGAAATAATGAAAATGCAGCAAAATGATTTTAGTGTTGAATTATTTCTTAATAAATGCTTAAGTGAAAATATTAACAATTTAGCAAACGCAGTTATGAATCGATTATACACATGAAAGTATTGTGGTGAAAATGATAACGAATAAGATACCGATGACTACAGCATGTTTTAGAGCGCGATACTCGAAAGTTCTGTATATAGTAAGAACATGTAAGAAATTTCCAAGGCTGAGTATGCGCAATCGATGAGGTATATAAGAGAGCGGCCAACACAGCAGTGAGTTATTAAAAAGTGAACTCGTTGGTGGCAATATCGGTGTCAAGTGCAAATTGTAGAGTGTGAAAGTTATAAAATAAGTCGTCGTGTATAGTAAAATATATTGTTATTTATTGAGTAATAAATAAACGTTGATTAAGTTCTCAACAATTACGAAATTATTCAACTAATTCGGTGACTTTTATGTACCAATGCAATGAGCGAACTCGGAAAACCATTTTGGTCGAAATTTGATGTATGTTTTATATTAATTATATTCATAGTTCATTCACCTTTCTCTCTGTTTTGCATAAAGTTTGTTTTTGCTTTTCGTTGAAATTATATTACGATTTAACTAAAAAAAACGGATCAAAACTTGAATTAACTCTTTAGCATAGAAGAAAGAAACTTTGTAAGATGGTTAATTCCAACCTATTCTTTTTTAAAAGGACGTCCCACAAGCTTTAAATGGATCTGGTTTACGAGCGTGTCAGCCAAAGGCTTTAACGTTTTTATATCTAAGAAATTTCTATATCTTCCTAGACGATAGAACAACAAAAAAGAAGAGCCTTATTTTTGCTGAAATCTAAGCAATTTATGAGCCCATTAGGACACATATCAAACACAAACTTTTTTCGCGAAAATTAACTTCATCGGAAAAGATGAATTTTCTGTAAAAAATACTCATTGACCGAAGCGAAAAACAACGAATAGTCAGTTCTTGGGCGAAGTTATAAGCCTTCATATCGAGACCTTTATCAAATCCCTAAGCCAGGAAGTGCGCGAAAAGCTTAATTCCTGCGAACCATGTTGAGTAGCATTTGGCGGCTTTTTATGCCACAGTGACAATATTTTTCTGCTCTGAACGTACTGCACGAGCTCGTATAGCTATAATTAAATATTTTGTCTAAATTTGAGGAAATTGCTGTGGACGACTTTCCGATACCACAAAACGGGGATACATGCCATACAGCCAATGATCATTTTCTTGAAGGTAACTTTAAGTGAAAAAAAATCGTGCGAGTTAACAATGCTAGACTATTTTTTGTGAGGTTATGTGAAGTAGTTTGTCTACTCAGATAAACCCGATACGATTAACGCCTTGGAAGAAAATATTCGGTGCGTTATTACTGACATGAGATCCCAAATGCTGCAAAAAATGGTAGAAAATAGGTCCTCTCGGCTGGAGTTTATTTGAACCAGCTGCGTTGGTTACTTGCCTTGATATCATTTTTTTAACAGAAATGGCAAATCCTTACCTTTATAACAAGGCTATATTACTGACCATAATATTCAAATACATGCGTTTTATCTCCTCTTTACAGCCAAATGTCTGAAGAATAAATATACCACTCTTAAACTACTTCAAAATACGCAAAACTGCAATGCTTATTCAACCGAAAGTGAGCTTCATCGCAGAACAAAAATTTCTTGTGAATCATTTTGGGCGCATTCAAAGAACGTGCGACGCACGTCATTCAGCTTCAATTCTTGCACGTGTTGGGTTTTGTAAGCACGAAAATCAGGATCCTTCTGCAAAGCCTTTCATAAAGTGAATGGGCACAGCTCCAACTGTGGCGAGCGATGTACCGATGGGCTCATTGTGATCTGAACAACAGTAAGAGCGACGCTGGTGCGCAATGTAAGGCGTATCTGAGTCTGAGTATGCGCATTATACACTAGTGTAAACTTGGTGCGAAACTGATCCATGGTTGCTTAAATTTTCGACTCCGCTGGGCTATTGGATCGAACGAATTTTGAATGCAGGGCGTGATGTATCGCGCGGGCCAAATTATTATTTTAATAAGAAATTTTCTCGATTTCCAAGCATTATTCCAAATTATGTCCTTTCGGTATGAAATCGCAAACCAAACTGAGTATCAATGAAGTAACAAGCTATCAACCGAAAAGAGTATTGACTCTCTGAAAACCACGCGTCATATATTTTTATGTTTTTTTTAATACATACATACTCGTATGTAAATATATCTTATATTTTTCAATTATTTGATTTTATTTATTGCAGCGTTCCCATAGTAAAAACGACTAAAGAAATTACATTCAAAAGCTCAACGCCACTAAGTAAGTAGTAGAAAACATATGTATGTATGTGTGTACGCCACCCATAGAACAAAGAAGCACACAAAAGATTGTAAACTTTTTTTAAAGTGTATTTACATAGATAAAAGTGTACAGTGAAGTACAGAAAAAGTATTCTAACAACACATAACAAAAAATATAATCAAATATATGTAGATGCAGTAAAAGTAGGACAAGTAGATGAAGATACTACGATGTTAATAAAGAGTGACAGAGATAGAGAGACAGTGAGACAGTGAAGTGAATGCTATTGAATGCCTTTACCTTCAAAACTCAGCCTACTTTGAAAATAGTGCAAATTACTTTGCTTATAACAGGGCTCATATGTATAGAAATTGGCATTAAATTCATCATGATCACCAACATCATTATTATTATTAGCATTACACTGTTTGATATCACCAACATTTTCTCTTTGCACGTCAGCACTAAAATTTTCAGATTTCTCACTAAAGGATACACTTGAAGCGCATACTTTGGTAACTGACGTGGCTTTTGCTGGCTCCACAGTGGGAAATAATGGATTTATTGTTGTTGTTGCTTTTTCTGCACGTTCAATAGCACGCAGTGAAACTGTACACATGGTTGGTGCTGGTGGTGTTGGTGGTGATGTTGGTGTGGTATTCTGTGCTGACATCAAAGGCACCGGTAACATATTTTCTACAAACGCTGCACTCGCATCATCGACAAGCTCGTGAAACACGCCATGCGCATGCGATTTTGCCTATTCGTGTGTGTTATTTGTAATTATAAATTTATTTGTTTTTTTTTTTTTTTTGTTTTGATTGTTTGCGACAGCGTATATTTGTAAATAATTAAAAATAATAACAATAATAATAATAGCAACATGAGTTTTGCATTAGTAAATATTAAAAGATTAGTTACAATCGCTTGCAAAAATCATAAAAATGAATTTTAAATAGATAATTGAAAAATAAAATACATTTTTTGTAAGAAATATAGCAGTTGGTGTTCCCAGATATTTTCAAAATTTACAGTTTAGGCACACATGTTGTACGTGTGTACTTATATAGTTTTTTTATTGTGCAATATTTTATATGCTTACCTCGCTGTCTTCGCATGCGACACCATCATCCTTGGGTGAACAAAGGCCTTGCACGAATTTCGAATCTGCTGCGGTGTCTTCAGCAGCTAAATGTGCACGAAATTGTTTATTTCTGTAAAGTAAATAAGGAATTATTAAAATTCTCCAAAACGGGTTTATTTATATTATTTGTTAAGTGTTCAGTTGTATTTTTATAATTATTTAAATTTTTTTTTAATTTTTCATGAAATTGATTATTTTCGTAAAGTAAATAATAAATTGTTAAAATTCTCCAAAACTAGTTTATTTATATTTTAAAAATTTTTTAAAGTTTTATTTTGTTTTAATTTTTCAAGAATTTGTTTAGTGAATTCATTTATATTTTTATAATTATTTAAATTTTTTTTTGAATTTTTCATGAATTGGATTTTTTCCTAGTTTATTTATATTTTAATAATTTTTTTAATTATTTTTTTTTTTAATATTGCATGAAATTGTTTTTGTCTGTAAAGTAAATAATAAATTATTAAAACTCTCCAAAATGAATTTATTTCTTTTTTTATTGTTTTTTAAATTAATTTTTTTTTAATTTTGCATGAAATTATTTTAATAAATTATTAAAATTCTCCACATTGAATTTATTTCTATTTTCATAGTTTTTTAAATTTATATTTCTTTTTTAATTTTTCATAAATTTTTTATTTCCGTAAACTAAACAAGGAATTATTAAAATTCTACAAAGTGAGTGTATTTCTATTTTTATAATTTTTTCAAATTTTCATAAATATAATTTTAAATATTGTTTTTAATGTTATTTATTATTTTTAATTTTTCCATAATTTTTTTTATTTTTTATTTTAATTTCACTTTATTTATTTATTTTTCTACTTCTTTGATTTTTTTATTCTATTTAACATTTTTTTTTTAATTTCTAATACCTCTTTTAATAAATTTCATAATTTTAATTTTTGCTATTAAATATTTACTTTTTATTTTTATTTTTCACACACTTAATATTATTTTAATTATTCATTGTTTTTTTCTAATTTTATTATTTTTTTCCAATAATTTCATTTTCAATTTTACATTTTAATTACTATTTCTTCATTTAGTTTTTTTTTAAATTCTTGTATTTTTAAGTTTCATATATTTAATATTTGTTCAGGTTTTTAGTTTTGTGAATTCAATTTTTTTTATTTTAGTTTTTGTTTCTTTTTTAATTTTTTGTTTATTATTTTATTAATTATTTTATTTTTTCTTCTTTTATAATTTTTTTATTTATTATTTTTAAAATTTAGTTTTTTATTATTTATTGTATTTAATTTGATGTAAATCATTCATTTCATTTTATGTTTATTTTTAAATTTTTATTTCAATATTTATTTTTTTATTTTTAATTTTCTTACATCAGGTTTCAATCTAACTTTTTAATTTTTGTAATTTTGTTATTTCAACTCTATTCTTTGTTTTTTCTTATGTTATTATTTTTTTTTCAATATCAAGTTTCTTGTTTTTAATTTTATATATTAATTATTAGTTTTTCATATATTTTTTTTTTTGTATTTTTAAATTCCACATATTTTATATTTGTTTAGTTTTTCGAATTTAATTATTTTTAGTTTATTTTTGGTTTATTTTAAAATTTCTTTATTTATTCCTTTAAAATTTTTTTTTTCATTTCATTTTCTAATTTTTAAATTTTTTTAATATTTGTTTTTCATATGATTCTTTTATGAACTTTTATTTTTCAATTTTATATTTTGAATTTATAATTAATTTTCAGTTTTTTTTTGCATTTAGTTAATTTAGGAAAATAAAATAGAATTAATAATAAGAAAAAATACGAAATAGAACTATTTTTTCTTATTATTATTTCTATTTTATTTTCCTTATTATTATTTTTTATTTATTAGATCTATTATTTTTTCCAATTTATTTTAGGTCTTTTCCAAATATTTTTTTCTACCAAATTATTATACCTATTAAATATTTATTTCGTTATTTTTTGAATAAGATTCTTATAATTCTATTTGTTTTTTATGTAATTTTTTATTTTGATTTTTATGGGTTTTTTTATATCTTCTTTAATGTTTTTTTTTGTTCAGCTCTTACATTAATTATTATTTTATTAATTTATTTTTATTTATTTAAGGTTTTTTTATATTCCATATTTTTTATTTTTATTTTTAATTTTTAAATTGATATTTATTTATTTATTGTTTTAGTTTCATTTATTTATTTTAAATTATTCTTTTTTTAATATATTATTTTATTTCACCTACCTCAACTCCAGCTGTTGCATTTGCTGCAGATGTTTCAACTTTTGCGTTGTACTGCGCAACCTCTCCTCCAATGTAGCATTCTCAACGCATTTTATTGAGAATTTTTCGGAAAAAGACAAGATTTCTTGTCGCAACTCTTCAAGTTCCTCTCTGAAAATTGACACAGAAAGAATTCGTCAAATTATTTACATCTTAACAAAGCCATTAGGATGATAAATTTAGTGAATTAGCTCCAAATGGATATAAGCATCTGCTTTGCTCCAAGGCTCCAAGAAATATAGTGAGCGAGCTTATATGCAGTGAGGATTCACTGGAACGCCTGGTCAGCCAAAATGCATTTTTCGGTATGTGTAGACAATACTGATTGATAAGGTTTCGTACCTGATAGTACAAGTAGAAGTTTCAAAGCTAGATAACAATGCTGTCTTAAATTTCACAAGGGGTGTTGACACTCTAAGGGACAACTACTATGCCTCAAACTAGTTTGGACCTTTAGGCGGCACTAGAGAAGACCCATTGGTCTATATATTTATATAAACGACGTACGAACTTTCAGACAAACATATATCAAGCGAATAAGAAATTCTACCTTTAGATATAGAGCTTACAAGCAATTACTAAAGCAGGTATGCCAGATCATTGATAATAAATTGATGAGGTTCATGATACAGATTCGACAGTAATTATCCAACGTAAGACAGTATTTGAAACCTTTCCTTATCGAACAGCGATTAGTCAGTCCTTAAACTAGAGCTTGTGACTTTATGAATGCTTGTAAATCATTGAATCTCCCACGGCGTTAGACCAAAACTAGTTTTCAACTAACTGACCTTTGACTAATCTATTGGATTGTAGACCATAGTCAGCATATGTTTTTGATGCTTATTAGGCGATGGCATTAAACCCAGTAAGGCCCTTCCTGGAAGTTTATCGAGTTTATGTGTTCCAGCTGTTGTCGGCTACTGCGTTCGCTTATTTATTGGGTTAATTGGTTAGGTCCTTAAGTAGGGCCTACTCTCTCCTAAATTGCTACCACAACTACCTGAAAGATCTATCAACGGTGCTTAAGTATGTCCCGACAGAAAGATACCTCAATTGAAATTGGAACTTATTTATAAAGGATCTCATCAAAATCCTGAAATTAGTATGGCGAAAGGTATAAGCTACAGCAGGCAATGATCCATGTGCTCGGAATGCTCGGAACCTTCCTTTAGAGAACAGCTAAGCTCTTTTAAGATAAGTCCCCAATTATTTACCCGGCAGTTGTATGCAAAAAACTGGATACCTAGATATTTACGCTCTAAACTTTCTGGTATATCTGAGAGTTCGTTGGCGGAACCCTTAGTTTGACTTAAGACACATTTAAACCACAAGCGACTCATAGCTTTCTATACCCTAGGCGCTTATATAAACTATAACTTACTCGTTTGCTTTGGCAGTGTAGGCCGAATGTTCGCCTTTTTGGAATTGCTTTAAGAATTCTTGCTTGAAACGGGCCACCTCACGTTGTACTTCACTTTGATGAGCCTTGCGCATGGCATCCAGTGCGGCCAAGGTAGCCTAACGTGAATAAGAATTTTTTAGTAAATTGAAAAATATTTCTTAAAACTAATATTTCCAACGCACTTGCGTTTCCTCAGCTAAAGCAGTTTCCTTCTCCAATAGCAAACGCTCAATTTCCTGACGGTGTTTTTCCTCTAAATCGGCCACAATACGACGGTGTGATGATTCCATGGCCGAAAGACCCTTCTCACAGAGAGTCTAGAAGATAAGTAGCAAATTGTATTATATTTTTAGGCCAGAGTTTACTTTCCTTGCAAACATACTCACCCGAAGCTGCTCGATTTCAGCCTGATAGCGTTGCCTGAAACTCGCATCGTCGCTGGTTACCTTGCTGAAGTCCGGCGAGTGTGCTAGTAATTGATCGCGATAAGTGTCTTGTAGACACTCCAATTGCTTGCTATGCTCCAGCTCCAACATTTCTAGGCGACGCTCAAAACGTTTGCTCTTCTCCTTCTCTCTATTTAATTCGGACTGTAGATAGTCACGCTCTTGCAACAACACCGCATACTCTTCATCTTGACGAGCACATTTCTCCACCAATGCATTGCTCTCCTCTTCGTGAGCGTGCGCTTTCTCTGTTGCCTCTTCAAGACGCTGCAAGAGTGACAAATGATCACCTTGCCTGCCGCGTAACTCTTGTTCTTTGGCTTGCAATTTGCCTGTGACATTCGTTAGCTCTTTCATGCGCTGTTCCAGCAATTCATTGCTCTTGTGAAGCTCAGCGCTGATTGCGTCCTTTTCAGCCTCGATTTTCTTAAAGCTGTTGCGTTGATTTTCGAGTTGTTGCACATATATACTCTTGTCTTTGGCGTGTTCCTGCTGTAGCTGTAGCAGTTCGCATTCATGTTGTTGCTGTAGGCGCAACAGTTTCTCATGTACTTGCCGACAATGTTGACAGGGTGTGTTGAGCGCGCGGTGTATTTCTTGACAGAGCTGATCGGCGCGTTGTCGGAGATCACCGCATTTGTGACAAACATCTTGTAAGCTCTCGATGGACACAGTTGAGCGTGGTATGGAAGTGGTGGAAGCCGAAGCTTCACATTGCAAGGCGATTAAGGAGTCCTCTAATTGACTGAGGAATGTGGAGATTTCTGATAAAACCTGACGATCATTTAAGAAATCAATCGTGTGTTGCTTATAGATGAATTCAAAATCAGCATCGGCCAGTATATCAGCCGGATTGTTGATCTGTAGATCATTGGAGAGTTCCTCAAATAGGCTCTCGTAACGTTGTAGCGCAGTGATACCGATTTTGTTTGGTTGACATTCGCACTGTGTGTTTTCAATATTCTCCTTAGCCAGCTGCTGTTCAACGTAGTCACCACGCAGCACGGTTATGCGTGCGTCAACAAGCGCCTTGTGCGCAATTATATCTGCGAAATCGGCGAGCAACTGCCGGCCCTCCGAAATCTTGCGTTCTTGTTCCAGCTGCAGACGCCATTGACCGCGCTTCATCTTTTGTATGGCCTCCTTGTAGCATTGGGTGAGCTGTGCCACCGCTAACTCCATTTCCTTACGCAACGCATCATGTACGGCGTCGGCGAACTTCTCGAAAGAAAGCCGCTCCTCAGCTGTGAGTGTGTAGCCGAAGGAGGGTGTGAGTGATTGCTCAAAACGCTCGGCATTACGTAACATGATGTGCGTAATTTCCGACTGTACAAGTTCAGCGTTGACGGTCTCTTGTGCCTGACGCCAGGCCTCCTGCACAGCACCCTGTACCAAGTCGTTGGATGAGATGTAGCTTAAAGTTTCGGCGGCCAGTCCACTGGCTAAATTTTCCATGGCATTGTTTTTGTAACGCTTCACAATTAGATTGATTTCATTCTGTTGCCGCAGCAAGTCCTCCATAATATTGTGATCTACTGGTTCGAACGCCTCTTTGCTGATGGTCGTCACCTTGCGACAGTTAGACAACATCAAACGACGCGCCAACACGCCCGCCAAAATGTCAAGCGTGCCACTGGACTTGAGCGCACACTTGCCACTCAATTTCGCCTTCAGCATCGTCATTAGATGCGAAGTCTCCGATACTTCGGTGCGAGTTTGGCGCTCACAGAAGAGTTCGGGGTTTTCTGCGCGCATAACTGAGTCGCGCAATTTGCCAAAACAAACGCTCTCGAATGCCACACGATCCGCTAAGAGTTCCATATTTTTACGATCAGTCAGTTCGTTGCGCTCGCGCAAGACGCGTCGTTGCTTGAGTAGTTCAGCAAGTTTGTTACGTAGTTGTGATTCAAGTTGGGTGAGCGCAATCTTTACAGGATTTGAATCTGGCAAAAGCATTACGTTTGGCACGGTATATTTATCGCCACTGCTGCCACTGATGACGCAAGTTTCACACGATTCGCGTATTAGCTTGACTACCTCGCTGAGGCAGCGCTCTATATAACGATACGAATCTTTACGATCCGTAATAGGCGATACCGAACGACGGCTGTGTGAGGAGCGCAAATTCTGTAGCTGATGTAGACTTTTTTCGAGTCTATCTCGACTCGTTACCAAAACACTTTCGAGACAACGTAGCCGATCTAGTAAATGTTCGGAAACCTTCGAGGCGTTACGTGTTGCACCATCAATTGTCGGCGTGCTGCAGGATGGTGTAGGTGTAGATGACGAACTGATTGAGCCGGCAGCCGATGTATCATCCAAACGCTTTTCTAAATCGTTCAGACGCAACATGAATTGTAGTGGATCGCTATTGCTGGCATTACTTTCGAGTGAACGCCTACGCGATGACGATTTCTTCACTACCGGTCGGAGGGGTTCTGAGCTGCTTGCGTTTGTGTGCCTCTCCATTTCATCGATTTTCGCCTCCAACTCAAACACCTTCAACTCCAACTCTTTGGGTATGCTCAGCTGCTCTTTGCCTTTGAGTGAGAGCGATCTTCTGCGCTCTGATTTAGCCATTTTCTGCTTCAGCGTGCGCACCTGTCGTTCTGAACTACTATATTTCAATGTTAAATCCTGTATGCGCGCGGCCATCATCTGCACTTGTGCACGATCTTCAATCTCTTTACGTTCCAGATCTTGTTTGAGCGCAGCATAGGAAATCTCCAACGAATCAAATTGGTTTTGTGACTCCTTCAGCTCACGCTTCATTGCTCTTATCTCATTTACGGCCTTTTCAAATCGACTACGCAACTCATTGTACTCATCTGCCAGCGTATCGCGCTCCAATGCGAAGGGATCTATATCACCGATCTGCGTGAGATCGCTCAAAGAGTCCATACGCTTCAGTTTACCACGATTCAATTGACTGAAACTCTGCAAGCTGCTGCCTTCCAGCTCGTGCACACGCTTATAGAGCGTCTCATTCTCATCGATGCCACGCGCCAAACGATCTTCAAGATCTTTGACCTTCTTTTGGCTCTCATCCAGTTCATCGGTCAAACGCTCTACAATATGCTCGGCATTGCGTTTTGTCTCATCCAACTGTGCGGTGAGATTATCACGCACCGATTCCATCTCCTGCAAGCGCGCATTCAGCTGTTGCTCCGTGCGTTCGAGCGTCGTCAGTAATTCCGACATGCGTGTCTCGCGTTCTTTGGCTTCATCACGCAGCATATTGCGCTCCTTCTCCGCCACGCTGAGTCGGAATTGCAATTCTTTGTCAATACTAAGTTCCTCCTGTACAGGATGCATGGCTGGTGTAGGGGAAAGATCGTCTGAACCAACGCTATCTACTGTACTACGCCGCGAGGTGGGCGGTGAAGAGTGGCTGCGCTTATGTGTACGTGTGGCAGTTGCCGTAGCGCGCGCATACAAACGCTCGCGATTTCTTAGTATGGAAGTCGTGATTGGTGGTGAGGGTGAAAGCGGTGATCCCCAGTCCACACTGTCGCGCCGGCCGCCCTCAGAAGCAGTGCGATACTCCTCATCTGAGGATAAATGCGCAATTTTCGGTGTAGACGGTGTGGTCGCAATATTTATAATTTTAGTCGGTGTGCTACTACCGCCGCTTTGTATTGCAATAGTTGGTGTGACGGGCGGACTAGTTTCACTTTGTTGCACACGTTGTGTGGCGTGACTGTTCGGGACTGCTGGCGGTTTCTTGGGCATTTCATGATTGCGTTGCGCCTTTATGAAGTCCTTCTCAATTTCACTCTTCATATTCGGTATGACGGCGCCATCTTTGATCACCAATTCCACTGTTGGCGGCACATCGGCGTCTGTGAGTGTTTGATGGCTACTGTTGCACGCATTATTTGCCGCCAGCAACGGCGGCAAACCAGCGATATTTCGCAATATGGCAATCCAACTGTTGCGTGAGCTGGGCGAAAGACTCGCCAATATGAGGCGCCGTTGATCCCAAGATGTCAGTTGGAAGGCATAACTCTTGCTGGCGCTCACTTCCGCCACATTCGTCAGACTATTCACATCCAGCACGCCATCTAACACGCCACGCTCCTCCGACACCGGGTCACGATAATAGAAAAGTGCCGCACCACTCAACGAGAACCAATGCTTCGTCCAATCGCCGGTGCGGTTATCTTGCTTCATTAACCAGCCCTTTTTGGCATTAAGTGACTCCTCAGCAGGCGGATTGACACGTAACTCTGCCGTCTTGGCCAGGTAGTTGGTGGAAAGATCGTCAAGATTGCAGCCGCCGTCCGGATCACCTCTTTCGTGTGTCTGCTGCTGTTGCTGTTGCTGCTGCTGCTGCTGCAGCTGGTGATGATGATGACGATGATGGGTTTGTTGTAAGTGTTGTTGTTGCTGCTGTTGTTGCCGGTGCTGATTGTTTTCGTGTTTCTGTTGTAGATTTTTCAATTGTAATTGCAATCGTGGACTAGATTTGCACTTATTATTATTGTTGCTTAGACCCAGACCGCCGCCAACAACAACAACGCCTTTTGCAATTTCATTTGTACCATTGTTGTTGATGTTGCTGTTGTTCTTATTATTGCTATCGCTTGCTGTTGTTATAATATTATTATTAGCATTCACATTGTTGTTATTATTATTATTGTTGTTGTTGTTGTTGCTGTTGTTGCTGTTACCGCTGGACGTCGATAATACAGGCGGTATCTTCTTGACTATGGCCGAGACAATGGCAGGCGTCGAATTTGCTGCCAATGGTAATGACTTTGGTCTCAAACTAGCAACATTGCTCTGTCTCTGTTGCTGTTGTTGCTGTTGCAACTGATGATGCTGTAATTGTTGTTTGTTCGTCGACCGATGGTAATCGGTTTCATCACGCGATTTTTTCTCTTGCGCTCCCGCCTTTGCCGCTGCCGTCGTCGTTGTCGTCCCCGTCGTCGCCGTCGTTTGATGCAGATGACTATTGAGTACATTATTGACAGTTGTGTTGGACCAGCGATTTTTCTGTTGACTTAGATTCGTTATAGTGTTGGCAATGTCTTTGTAAGTCTTCTCATCCCGTCGGATATCCTCGATGAGCAGACATGATGATGAGACTAAAATTGAAGAAAAAAAGAGATGAAGAAATGAAGAAAAGGAAGTGAACATTTAGTAGTGATTTGGAAATAGATAACGTATATACATAAATACATGTATGTATACAAGACTAATTGCAAATTTAAACTGGAGCCAGATTTGTTCTTTTCGTAGGAAAGTAATAAAGGTGTAGCAACTGAAGCGATGAGGTGGCTTAGCTTAAGCAATTAGTGCAAATGCAATTTTAGATCAGAATAACATTTCTGTGATTGAAACAAAAAGAAAAAAAGACACAAAAAATGTTCTGAGATCAACGCTTTAATGATAGTAAACGAATATGTTGAAATAATTACTTTAAATAAAGATTAGAGTAAAAATTTTTTATGAATCGGTAATCTCAATATGATTTATGTTTCTTTCTGGATGTTTTGGTTGCCTGTGTAAAGAAGACTGGAACATTTCGAGAAGTATTTCAACGAGCATGAAATATGAGAAATAAATTGTTTGATAATAGGAATAAGTATATGTGTGTGTAACAAAAAATATCAATCTCTTTTTTGTAATCACCCCACCGCAAAGGCGGCAATAATATGTTGGGAAATCTTAAACAAGCTCTCGGCTGTATGCGAAACGATCGTAGTCTGGGTCCTAGTGGTATGCCAGAAGGGCAATGAACTCTGCACACTTTGCGGACATAACTCTTTCCTCTACAATATATTTGCTGAGATTACTCTTTTCCAGTTAGGCCAATAGCAGATGGTAGAGTGCAACCACAAGCAATGTGGCCAAGCAGATCTGGCCATTGATCGATTCGAAAATAACTAAATGTCTACTTCTTCTAAACAGAACTTCCACGAGAAAAACAACCGGTGTAATTACCGGAAACTGTTTGATCAAGACTCATGTTAGAAGGGTGACTGCATTTCTAATGACTTGAGTCGCGGCTGCAAACACATACGAGGTGTAGACAGTGGAGCACTAGCTCTACCACTGCCTCACCTTAAGTGTTCCCAGACATCGTTTCCTAGAGAATTTATACTTTGATTTGCAGAAATAGCGCCAGCAAGTGTCTATAATATTCTGTGTATTTCATTTGAAAACCTAAATGGTTTCTGCGTTTAAAAAGATGAGAGGAATCTCTTCTATAGACCCCCTCCCATAGGTATAACAACGGTCTAACAGGCCTAAGTGCGTTCAACGAACATCGGGTTTGAGCAACCTAACTAACTAACTTATAGGGAAGCCGGCGAAAATAAATTGTTCAGTTGCTAAAGCGTCTTGGAGACCTTTTAATACTGTAGGAAGAAAAAACAAGTAAGAATTACTCAATATTTTCATAAAAATATCAAATTTCGATGAATTTCGTTGGTTCTTAAACGGGTTTTTGACCAAAAACTTCATTTCAGTTTGTATGGGAACCAGATCCGACAAAGAAAAAGATTGGTTTGCCAGTTCTAGAACTTGCAACTTACAATTGTTTATGTGTAAAGAAATCTAAATCTAAATGTAGACTACACAATTCCAAGATTGACACCGACAGGGAACTGTGGTCGTTTCAATTGAAAGAGAGTATCGGATGATAAACGAGGATGTTTTCAGATTTTAAGGTCGGTCAGAATAGTTGCCTCTGTTACGTTCCTCTGTAATTTTTTGACTACAAGCCGTGGGCTTTGCAGAGTTTCGGCTGATTAATATTATGGCATTATAATGGGTGTAGGGTTTTTAAATTTAATATGTGCGGAGGGATCGGCGTTAAGTCAAAATTTCAATAATTGACTGTCTCATTTGTAGCGAGGTTAGCTCCGTCACTCACTCACCCATGATCCCTATAATTGATATGCATATTCGGGAATACTCCTTGAATCAATTCTTCTTTAGACGACACTAAATTACTGAAGTTGTTGGGTAATACAATCCGTCTCTAAGTCAGAACAATTCCTGTTTTTCCGTTCCCCATTCCCAGTAACTGTCGTGAAAATATATCGACCGTTGGAGTATTTTAGGCAAGCGATGATCTCAACCGCAGGTGTTGATCAAGGAATGACAGGCAGTATTGTTTTGTACAAGTTTCAAGTTATGTATATATAAGTTATATATATATAAGTTAAGTATATAAATATTTCTATCTACTTATTTCGGATCTATCTTTATTCACAATCAGGTTAACCAAATAAGAATAGCTCGAAACCCACCGCTGAATATAGCTGAAGAATAGTGAAAATGTGAATGAAACATATCTACCCACGATCTATGCTTTTATTCAAAAGTTAACACAAAACGAAACTTGAATAAATCCCGTAAAAAATGGATTTCAAGTAAATCGAAATATAAATAATGTTTTTTCGAATAGGTCAGTACTTGGTTCACTTCAGTTTTTTTTCATGTATTAACCTTCCCAGGAACAACAGAAATTAGCTGACAATATTATCGAGTTCGGTAGTTGAGTTGGCTTTGCTTGTATTGTACCCCTGTATATACCAACTACGTACTCGTATATCGTAAATACGAGTGTGAGTTTTAGAACAGTTCGATTGATTTGATGAACGCTTTCTTTCTTTCCGGCTATGATTTCCGAACTTACAAACTTCAAAGAAATGCAGCGAATTGGTGCTCAACTAAAGAAAGTATGTAATTTCGTTTTTTTTAATATGAAAAATATACTTAACGAAATAATTTTATTTCGCTTCGGTGCCATGTTATCGAAACGAAATGAAATTGTTAATGTTGCTGCCTGATATGATATTAACAGCGCACTTCAATTTTAACTTTTAACATTATCTGTTAATTATTTAACATCATCTGTTAAAGTTTTAGCATTAAGGGTGGAACCTGGTTTAGAGGGTCAAAAAAGACGATTTTTTGAAACTTATCTCATTCGAATAGAAATATATTCAGAAATACTTCCACAAAATTTCAGACTCAATCTCCAAATCGTTCCGCAGAAATGGCCTCTGAGAGACAATACGCTCCGGAGACTGATAATCGAGTGGGAGAACTTTGAACGCGATTTTCTCAAAACATTGTTTTTTTTTTTATAGCTAATAGTATGACTTCTATGGGATAAATGGTCATAAAATAAATAATTTTATACATTTCTTCGAATATCTTAGGTTCACATAGAAGAGCAGCACCTAATTTACAAAAAAAAGTATTCGTTTTTATGTTTCAGATGAAAACTTCGATCGATATCGTGTTCACAAAATAGACTCTTCGAGCGAGAAGTGCCACAAACAAATACGAATTATTATTGCTTAACAGTATCAAATGAAGTGAAAGTAAATTTTTTTTTGCAAGATTTTTGTATCTATGAGCTATTTCAAAAGTACTTGAGACATTTCATACTTAAGGCAACCTAAAACACTGTGCCGAATTTCATGAAATTTTCAGCGTTCTAAACCAGGTTCCTCCCTTTGTTTTGGGTAAAAATGACATTTCCAAATGTTTCAACTGAATCGATTGAGATTTTTTCTGTTTAACATGAAATTTATGGTTACGATGCAGCCCTCGTGCAAAGTTAAGCTAAGAATTTATAAATTTTTTAAGGTGAAATAGCAAAACAAAATGTTGAAAAGTGAATTTAAAAGGATGACAAGCGCTATTCATTGCGAAAAGCAAAGATTTTATTATTTACACCGAAAATATTTAATACTAATTTAATATAAATATTTTTAAAACTGCCAAGTGCTTACATATGTACATATTTCTAAATAGTTATAAAAATTGCCCAATTGCAATTAAAAAGCAATAAAAATTTCTCATATTTAAAATTCATTTAATTCCAGTGCAATTTTTTGAAAGCAAATAAGTTTTTATTTTATAATATTTACATATGAAATGAATAATTATCGGGCAAATTTTTCTCCTAAGTCACCCATTAATTCCTTTAAGCTTTCACTTTAGTATGCAAAAGTAAGTAGAATTAAAAGTATAGAAGTAGTTCTGTATTAGTTTATTTATATCATTAGTTGAGTAATTATTATTAAATTCATTTTATAGTATTTTAATAACAAAGAATGGATATGCTTTACGATTAGATTATGAATGAAAGAGTAATTCGAAAAAAGTTACAATTCTTAATATGAATAATTAGTGGTTAAAATAGTTAATTTGGGTATTTATGCTGGCAATGAATTTAATGGTAATAATAACTAATTTTTTTTAGCATTTTCTTCATTGTAAAATACCTGTCAAGCCTTTCGATATAAATTCTTAAATGTTTATAATGTTTTTTGTATGTCGATGAGCGAATCTATGGATGAGGAGCATGTAAAATCGAATCAAGCACTACAATTGCGTTGCTCCAGTATACCAAGAATTGTTGATTTGGAAAACGCATTTCAAGATATGGTGACAATTCTTATTGAAGCTAAATTTGCGTCAATTTTCGTCTCAAATTTTGCATTGCAAACGAAATTCTTCTGAGCTGAAATGGTTGCACAAGGTTTTAAAAAACTTTGTCAAAAACGGAAAATTTGCCCAGCTCTAGTCGGCCGTCAAAGAGTTTAAGTGAAATTTGAGAGAGATAACCGCTGAAGATTTTATGTTCCTATATTAGTTCATATAATTAAAAAAAATGTTTGAGTTACGCGGTAACTGAGTAGTTAGCAGTGCGTGTAACCATATAGAGAGTCTGGAATATGAATTCTGCTCAAACCGAAATCCAAAATCAGAGAAAAATGAGAGAATCGCTATCATACATGAAAGCGCAAAATTCGATTATTTTCTCAAACGAGTGTAGAATACCAGATTCCACGCTCTCAGATGCGATTATCAAAAGGATCAAAGACATATAAAAATATATCTACGTATAAAATTTGGTTGAAATATCACAAAAACATAATAGCACACCCCTTTTGAAATGTTGTCATCGTGAAAAAATGTTTGACTAAAATTTTCCACAATTACAAACGAGCCTTAGCAGTATTCATCTGACGACTTTTCTCTTCTTGGAAGACAACTTCTCTTGATACCAGGAAAAACGTTTCAAAAATGTTTTGATAATTCGATTATTTGTTTATTA